TACAATACATTTCCTGATGGGATTAATGATAGTGAAGATGTGATCGGAGCTCTTTCTTTAATCATTTACTCTCTTCTGCTTATACCTCTCATCAAGTATGTGTTCATTGTCTGCAAAGCTAATGATAATGGCCAAGGTTAGCTAATAACCGATTTGCCGCGTAGGAGACGTCTTAACCAATTTTTAGAACAGTGTTTTGAGCTTACAAAACCTTCCTTTTGTACAGTTCTTTCAGCTACTGGTGTGACAACTCAAAGGTTTTATAGCAAAAAAATCTGTCTTAGCATGAAACTTTTGGGGTTGGACACCATGATCGAAACTCAGACCTTTCCTTCTTATTTGTTATCATTAGGTCTGTAGACTCTGTACTGTTCGATTTGTGGGCAATCTGGATGTCTTTGAACTTATTTACACGTTTTAAACTGAGAGATCATGCAGATTAAGGAAGCAATTGGCATCCAAACAATTTTGAAGAGGCAATAACTGTTGTAAGTTAACTTGGTTTTTATATATACTTTGTTTGGTAAGTTCACCATTTTAACATTACATTTTATAAGCAGGTGTAAGACTATCAACACACAAAAAGAGCACAAGGTACGGATGCTATATTATAATGATTCAATGTTTTTATATGCCAATATCTAAGGTTTTACTTGCCTCTTGGCTCTTGATCTTACAGTTTAACTAATATTTGAGAACGTGTTACTCCGTGTTCGCAGAAGGTAGCTGTACCAAGTAATTATACAGCATCTTCCCCTCATTTTCTGCTTAATTAGTTTTAACATTTCCGCCGTGTTTACTTGCAGTTCTGTAACGAGTATGTGGTCCCAAAGGAAAACGATCATTTCAAAACCGTCACTGCTCAAAAGAGAAAAAACTATTTACAGTACTCATCTCAGTTTTAATATAAAAGAAGCATACAAGTTTAACACTAAAAGAAGAGGATATCGCTGTTACGAATGTCAAGATTGATTTAGCTTGTGGGAGAGAAAACCCTCTTGAATGGTAAAGGAAAACAAACACTGTTTTAGCTTCTTTGTTTATTTCAGTTAGCGCTTAAGTAAAATTCTAACCAGCTTATCTTTTTTTGTGGGGTTTTTCACATTCAGCATCAAGTTCTTCAAGGTAAACTATCATCTCTCTGTTCCTGTACACCATAATCTCAACAGACCCTATTTGATTGACGTTTTTCCTGTACAGGATTACGAGAGTGAAGAGAAGTTCTTGATACCAGAGGAACGAGTTAGTCATTTGTTGCCAACAACATTTCAAGACATGATAGTGAGAGTATATTCCAAGAAACCAGAACTGGTTTGTGATCAAATATATATATATATATATATTTGTAGTATATTCACATTGGTTTCTTTGTTATTGATATTGGTTTTTGCGATGCCAACAGGTGGAAACAGTTTCTGAAGCATTTGAGAACTTCCAAGTGAGAACGTATGGAATCAAAGCTCAAGTTCACGAAACACCTGAGAAAAAGAAACACCGTGTCGTGTAATTTGTTACGTGGCCATAACTTATTTCATTTTTCTTTTTACGGTGTTGAAAACACTACGGATGCGTGCGTATATACTAAGCACACATAGGTTTTACAAAAACGGCGTCCTTTTGTTCCATAGAACATAAAGTCTTGGATCATGGCATTTGCTTTCTATATGCAAGAAGAAAACATTGTTTACGAATTATATGTTATATACATTTGGGCCATTTTGAAAACTACCACAGATTTATAATCGTTTCTGGTCAATTTTGATTTAAAAATGATTTTATCTGCACTTTAGGCAGTCTCGCTATTTTTTTATATTGTTTTGGTCCATGTGATATATCAAACAAAAAAAAGATATAAGCTTCAGTGAAACTATTCACGTACACAAAAATAATCAACATAGATATTATTAATCAGAGAAACTTAAATAATCAAGAATAATAAACATATCAATCAAAAATAACGTGTAAGTACTTTCTAACTTATACAATCATCTCATTATATAATAAAATACAAAATACACTATGGTTGAATAACATATCACATTTATTAGGAAGAAAATAGTTAACAAATAGAGTTTAATTTGTATACTAACTTATTTTATAATCAATTCAATATATATATATATATAAATATAATATTTAAAAAGTAAAAATAATTATAAAGTTTAAAACAAACAATCCGGGCGTAATCCGAGAAACCCCCTAGTTTTGATAAAACATAGAGAAAACTACACTCAGAGTCACTTTATAACTTATTAATAACATGATAGGTCACTTGTGTCTACCCACACACTTTTGTCAACTAAACCACGTGAAAAAGTCCAACTAAATTAACTAGAGTAATATTAGAGTAATCAAAATCATGTGATCTGGCCCACAACAATTTTAAAGTAGTTTGTTTCTTCTTTGTGTTCACTTCTCATAAACAAAGCCGTGGTTCAAGAAAGTATGAAATTGATGAGTTTAGAGCTTTTGTAATCATAATCAAACTCTCTGTTAGGAAACTGTGTTCAGACGAAGAAAGATCTTGCCGTCCCGACCATCTTCAGATCGAGAAGCTTGAGAAATCCCCAATGGTAAATTTTTAATTATTTTCACAATTTGGTCCTCATAAATAAGTTGTTTACAAATCGACCCCAAACTTTGCACTCTGAGAAACATCATTTCGAACCAGCCTAGACTTTCACATTCTGCATTTCAAACTTCTCAAAAATTGTATTAGGGATCCTCAGAATCTTAGATGAATTTCACTTCGACCCATACACTTTCCATTATGCATAAATATCCTCTTGATTTTGTCAGAAACTTCAAAATGTGAATTCTAAACCTTGTCAAATGTAAATGTACAAGTATATACACTATCTACGTGGATCATTGTGAAGAAGTTATATTCTTCTTAATAATGCTAAAGTTTCATTTTGTAATTAAACAGTACAACTTGTCAAATGCATATCTACAAATATATGCCAAAGTTTTATTTAATAAATAAATTAATTTTCTTTTCACTAAATTAAGATTGTAAGATCATGAGATATCAAAATAGAGATAATGGATTTGTCTGAAAATTAATTAAATTAAGATGGTAAAAACCATTAAAATGCAAAACATACACCTAAATGAAATATAAAATGATCCATAAAAAGGATACTTTAAATCATCTAAGTGAAACCTAAAATGCATCTACCAAATTTACATATGTACAAGTTAACTGGTGTACATATTAATTGTTGTACATGTGGATAGTGAATATTTCATGTACACCTAATCATATACATATAAATGTACATGAAACATATATATGTATTGTAATAGATTTGTCTAAAAAATAATTAAATTAAGATGGTAAAATCTATTTAAATTCAATATACACACCTAAATAAAATAAAATGATCTAAACTAACAATAAAAATAGTCTAAATTATATTAATATATCCTAAAATATATCTATCAAATTTACCACATGTACAAATTAACTGGTGTACATATGAGTCATTGTACATGTGGATAGTGAATATTTTGGGGTACATGAAACACATATGTATGTATATATTGTACAATTTATCATAACTTGTGTAATGTATAGATAGGCCGATGTACGTGTGATTTTACTATGAAACATTGTTCATGTGTACAATAAAATATTTTTGTACACATTGACAATATTTATCATTTAAATATTTAAATTTGCAAGCATATATAACATATTTATAAGATGTACAAATTAACTTGTGTACATGTGAATTAAAGTTTGAATTATTATATGTGGATATGGTCAATAGATTTATGGATATAGTGTACATATAGATATACAAATGTATAACAATTTGAAGTTCCATAACAAAGTTAAAAATATGTTTTAACACAATTTGTCAATAAAATTTAAAACCTATTAATTATACTTAATTCTATTCAATATCATTACAAATTAATATTCTTAATAGTAGCTAATTAGAAATGGAGCTGTTTAATTGTGGTCAGAAAAGGTATGAAAAAAAAAAACAAACTGTGTGATGTATATTGTAGAGGTTAGATTGCACAATTTCAGTTTCAGAGAAATTAGAAAGGATGTATGCGCAAATTTGATTGTTTAGACCAAACTAAGAATAACCTAAAAATTAAGGGATCAAACATGTAAAAACGTGAGAGTTGGCTATTGTTGCTTAAGTTTCATTGTGTGATTGAATCGGGGGCCACCGCAGTGGAATCTGAACATCACAATTACCACAAGATACTAACACAATGTGAAGGAGATGAGTTGCAGAACACAACGTGGCGGAAGACGTTGTTCGTGTTGATTTCACGGCAAAGGAGGAGACGAACGACGACGGCTTGGCAATCGAGCTTGACTGAAATTGTCGGTGGTCACGGAAGAAGACCAAGAATCATGACAAACAGAAGCACAATTTTTCATAAACAGGAAGTTGAGTTGAAGGTGGTGATTGTGAAAGCAAAAGAAAACATATAGATGGAGAAAGAGAAAGAGTAAGAAAAAGAGAAAATATTCTTAACATATATTAAAAAAATTATTTAGTTAGAAATCTTCTTTAGTTAGTTTTCTTTAGTAATTTATTAGATAAAATATTGAATTCTAGTTGGAAAAGTGTCTCTGTAACAAAATGTGATTTATACTGTGATAAAAATCTTAAAAGTAACTTGTAGTGTAAAACACTCTAAAACGTATTGGGTAGGTAGTAGGTTGAGTTTCTCTTAAATTAATGGATAAGTCATAACTTGTTGAACAAAAAACAAGTCATAACTTGTTTCCCTAGAGAAGACTTTTGTACTCTCTTTCTGAGTTCATGTAGTGTTTGTCTTTTATTGGCTTAAGCCAAAGTCAAATCAAACCCATTACATTAAACAAATGATGGATCATATTCATATCATATACTTGTTTTCATACGGTAAAAATCTACATATAATCAAAGTAACCCACGTTGTTTCATTTCTTCAATAGAGGGTTCTTTCTTTGTCGTCTTCTTCTTGTTGTTCTTGACATTTCTCCAATGGATCCAAGATTGATCGTAGCCACTCAAATTGGAAACATCGATGAATTGTATGAGGTTATCCATGAGAATCCATACATTCTTGAAATCATTGATGGAATACCTTTCATCAACACTCCTCTTCATGTAGCTTCTGCTTCTGGAAACCTTCCTTTAGCCATGGAAATGATGAATCTAAGGCCATCTTTTGCTAGAAAACTTAACACGTATGGGCTAAGTCCATTGCATCTGGCTATAGAAGAAGGTCAAACACGGTTGGTTCTAAATTTACTCAAGCTTGATCCTGACCTTGTTCGCCTTCCAGGAAGAGAAGGTGCGGATAACTCTGTATTACAAAAAAAAAAGGAAAATAAAACTCTGTATTTATTAGTAACCGTATGTCTAAGTCATATAACTCTTTTCCTAACCATTTTTCATGATTTCATTCTTTTTTGTATAAAGGTACAACGCCGTTTCACCAAGTAGTAAGAAGAGGAGAGACTGATCTTGTGACAGAGTTTCTATTAGCTTGTCCTAGCTGCATTAGAGATGCAAACGTCAACGGTGAAACCGCTCTACACATCGCGGTTCTAAACGACAGGTATGAAGAGCTTGAAACACTCTTACTATGGGTTCAGAGACTGCGTCAAGCAGACGCTGAATCGCTAGAGATGCAATTTGTAAACAAACGTGATCAAGACGGTAACACAGCCTTGCATGTAGCAGCATATCATAACAGGTTCAAGGCAGTAAAGCTGCTGGTAAAATGTAACGCTGTTAACCTAAACATTCACAACCAGAGCGGTTTAACCGCTCTAGATATCTTACAGAACCAAGGGGAACATCAAACGAACAGAAACCTCGAAAACATGGTTCGAAAATCTGGAGGTAAGACCGGAAACTCTCTGCCAAAACCAAAGAAAGTGACTGAAATCTTGAGACGTCCGATAAGTTTCACGGAGCATTTGTTCACCCTGACAGCACGGTACAGGAACCAGACATCAGAAGGAACACGAGCTGCGCTTCTAGTGATAGCCGCACTAATAATCACAACTACTTATCAAACAGCATTGCAGCCACCAGGTGGTGTATACCAAGAAAATGCTGCTGAGGAAAGTAAGAAAAGTGTTGGTACCATAGTGATGAATCATAAATATTTCTATGTTCTTCGGAATGTGAACAGTATGGCTTTTGTTGGTGCGGTTTTCATGGCGTTTTGTTTGTTACCAGCTGGTGAAGGCTATGTATGGTGGTTTATATCGATAGCAGTGCCTTTATATGTTTCTTACTTGGTTTCTATGTCGGTTATATCTCCAGATACAGTATGGTACTTCTCGACTAGTGCGGTTTCGGTATTAATCATTATTGCTGTATACATGGTTTCTTGCGGTGGAGACGGTCTAAGAAGAAGATACCTGGAACCACAAGTGAGTTGATTCTTGAAGGCTTGACAACTTTAGATTTAGCTAAAGGAGTTGAATGTAGATGAACTGAGGTCTGTAGCTTTCATTTTATGTAAGATTTTTTTCCATGTAATAAGAATATTAACCATAAGTCTGCTATTAAAAAAGAACAAACTAATTGAAATGGTAGCAACCAAGTGTTGAGCTTTTATCTTAGAACAAATATGGTTTAATGAATCACTCCCATGAGATAATTAGAAAAAGAAATCTGGTGGGTACAATAATACAAATATATGTAATAAGTTTCATTTACAACCCAACCCAAAACAAAACAAAAAAACAAAAACAAAAACAAAAAAACAGACCTCCGGACTCCGGTGAGAAACAGCTGGCCAATGCTGTCTACTTTTGCACATAGAACAGAACCAAATCTGTCCCCTCTGTTTTTTAGTGTACAAAAATATACTTTACTCTTCTGCAAAAGCTTCTGCGTAACTCAGAAGTGTTTTCAATTGCTTCTGCAGCTGTTGATAAACACAAGATATGAAACATTATGGTTCAGCGATAAGATTAACTCTCTTTAGTGTTCTGATTTTAGTTACTAGCATATTCTTTGAATCAGTCGATAATGTGACATTTAAAAGGTTTGTTTTTGAGATACCATACTTGTGTGTGTTTTGACTTTTCTTCTTCAAGTTCTTCAGTCATCTCTTTCATCCTAAAGAAATTAAATTTTATAAGCAATTAGAAGTAAATACTACACCAGATTGATCTCTATAAAGAAGATCTGATTGACAGAACAACCTAGACTGAAGCTCAGAGATCTTGTTAAGTAGTAACCTTTCTCTCACCGAAGATATTGGTTCAACAACCTGTGATTTTGAGATTGCATAAGAGGAATATCTGAAGAAATCAAATCGATAATTCTACTTACAATTCCATTGATGTCAGATCCTCGAGGCAAAAGTGGCAACTTCCCATTTGGGGAGCCTATAACAAGGATAAGGGTTAACTCTCTGTAGCCATACTTCTTCACTATAAAACAAACAGAAATATATGAAGTGACTTTATCTTACCATCTGTTGCTTCTGTAGCTTGTAAGCTTTGCAGCAAATGAATAATAAGTTCCTGAAGTTACATTAAGACAAAATAAAACTTGAGAGCTGTACAATCACACACAAACTCATGTCGCAATTGCTAATGTGTTTTTTCTTTTCTTTTTCTTTCACACCTGTTGTTTTGAAGTTTGCAGGACCAGATTTTGAAGTTGAGGCATGATGAACGAAGGAGACGAAGGAGGCGAAGGCGACGCAGGACGACTACTTAACTCCTTGATGGGCTGTTGCCGGAGAAAAGAAAAAAGAAAGAAGAATGTCAAGATTAGGAGACAGAAATCAAACCAACTAAATGTGTTAGCAGAACTGACCATTCTAGATTCGAGTATACTAACACTGGTAGATTTTCTCAAAGGGCGTGCCTACAGATTAAAAGAGTATGAATAAACTAGTTAAGCTCAGGCAAGGAGAGTCATCATTCCACACAGATAACGTAAAGAAAAGACCATAAAACCCACCCTTGCAAGATCTAAGTACTCTGATGTTACTGAGAATCTTCCTTTGGTTTGAACCACACTAGCCTTGGACTTGTCAGCCAGAGAGTCACGGACTCCTAATCAAGAGAGAACACCACACCACTCTAAGCAACAAAAAAAAAGACAATAATAAGCTGCATTCAGCAAATGTGCTTGCTCACCTCCAGAAGATTTGCTAGGAGCTGAGAAACTGTTTTCTGAAGCACGCTTTGGAAGACTCAACGCACCGCTGAAGCTAGGTTCTACACGGGATGATGGTGCCAGCCTTCGTTTACTCTCAGGCCTAGCAGATAGAATAAATTTCAAGAAAAGTACAATATTGTAAATCCAATCATCTCTAAAACACAACAATTAGCTAATGGCAAACCTTGCATAAACATGGCCTTTCTGTGAGTTGGAATTAGTCAACGAAATATCGCGTGAAAGTGGTCCACTCTCATGAGTCTGGCCTCTCACTGACTTAGCCTTGGCCTGTGGAACACCGTGCTCTGGACTTGGTGTTGCTGGTTCAACAGGAGAAGCAGTTAAATTGAAAGCATCTGAAACTTTTTCCTTCCCGTTAATATCTTCCAATGACACTTGTCCTCTGTTACTGGCCCTATTACGCAACCGTTCGCCAAAAAATTCATCTTCTTCCCTACCCTCTACTAAGATTTCATCATCATCTAGCTGTTGCACACACAATAATCAAATAGGTAAAAAATGTAACCAATGGTTTCTCACATAGCATCATTTAAAACATAGCTTACCGAAGCTGCTTGTTCTTTCAAATCTTCAATGTTGAAGTTCCAAGTACTTACTCCTCTTTGGTATTCACTCTGACATGAAAGGTTAAATTTTAATAAGCATTTTGCAATTCGAGTTTAAGCCACAGTGTAAACTTTTTGTCACCTTTGATACAGCTTCTTGGTCAAGTCCTTTCATAGCAAGCTCAGCGTCCTTATCCTGTCATACAACGACTCTTATACAACATGACGAGTACGGCAAGCTCAGAGATTAAATAAGCAAGGCAAACCTGAAGATCTTTAACTCGTGTCCAGAGAGGTGGCAAATCAGCAAATAACTTTTTCACACAAATCTCCGGAGACTTTGCATTCTTGAAAAACGAGTGTTTTAACAACTTTTCAGCGGTTGGCCTTTTTGTTTGATCTTTCACCAGACATAATGCTACCATATCTCTAAAGGACTGGGCACAGCTGAACATGTTTTAGTTAGAACAGGTCTAGCAACGGAAAATAAACATAAGAATCCATTCATAGAAATAACACAATTACCTTTGAGAACTTCTTATCCCGGTCATAATCAAGGCCAGGAGGCGCATTTTGAATCGTCATTAAGAGTACCTTCATGGGTGGATATTTTGAGAAAGGTGCATGACCATGAGCTAACTCCAGCGCAGTTATTCCAAAAGACCAAATATCAGCCCTGTAATGAAGGTACAGAATCTATTTGAAAGGGACCAGGCTGAAAAGTATAGTAGTAACAAAGCATAAACTTACTTGGAATCGTATCCACTTCCTGGCTGCATGATTTCCGGTGCCATCCTACAAACAGAAATAAGATATTAACCAACTGTGAAGCTTAATAAGACCGGATTGAAGTCAAAAGACAATAAACCAACCAGCATGGTGTACCAACAAATGTGTTTCGTGAACGTTGCCTATCACCGTTTTCAAACAAGCATGCAGAGACACCAAAATCACCTAGCTTAATCTCTCCAGTATCATCAAGAAGTATGTTCCCAGACTAACATAAAAGAAAGTTTTGAGCATATAGCATGAAGAAGAAGGGGATAAAGTCAAAAATCTAAGCTAACCTTAACATCTCGATGGATATGGCCGTGTCTATGAAGATAATCAAGAGCTTTAAGTGTTTCTTTCAGTATGGAACATATAGCAGGCTCTTCAAATCCATCAGGATATGCTGACTTCATTAGGTGAAAGCACGAACCCTGAGCCATGAAAGGCATGACCACCCAGAGCTTATGACCAACCGCAAACGAACAATACGACTTTATAACGTTGGGATGGTCTATCATACTCATGGTCTGAGCCTCCCTCCTTATATCATCCTACAAAAACCAAAAAAACAAATACATTAATTTCAAAACTAGAGATTAAACCATCATCTACGCAGGCCGGTCCAGGGCAAAGCCTCATGAAACATTGGTCTTAGACTTCCAAAATTTTTGAAAAAAAATACAGACATAGACCGAATTTATAAAAATATTTTTAGTTGAAATCTTCGATAAATCGCAGCCATCTCAGGGGGATCTAAGACTCATAAACTGATTAAAAACTTCATAAAAACAGAACATATTGGTCATAATCCCTCAAACAAGATACGACCAAGCACATTTTAGGATCAAGAAACAATTGTTGTGGTGATGTAAGCCCATGATAAGTCTCGAAAATCAATATCTAAACGAAGGAGATGGATTTTAGAAAGGAACCAGATTGCTGTTGCAGCGATCGAGATCCAAACACTTTATAGCGATGACATCTTTAGTAGGAAGATAAATTGCAAGATGGACGACAGCACTAGCACCATGTCCTACTTCTTCCATAAGCTTGTAATCTTTAGGGTTAACAGAGAAACCTTTCTTTTGCTTGCTACTACCACTACTACCGCTCGCCATTTTCTTACGCCGTTTACCGCTGATAAAAGTCCTAAAACAAACAACTCCGTCTTCAGACAACAATCAATAACAAAGAACTAAAGGAAATGAATTTTAAAATGAGAGAAAAGTACTGTAGAATCTGACGAAACGGAGACACCATTGAGATTTTGTGAAATTAAATTTTTTTTGTTTGTTTGTAACTGTAGAAATTAAATCTTTTTTTTTTTAAGCTTTTTTTCTTTTCTTCTTCTTAGCTTTTGGTTCGATTCGGCTCGACTAGTGCTTATGTATTTGTTTCTGATCGAAGTTGACCACGACAACTAAAACGAGATTGAGAGTTGCTACTTGCTGACGTGACAAGGGTGTTAAGCATCTAAGATTATGACATGTGGCTATTGTGAAAGAGATTGACCGCATCCACACACTCTGCTCCCTCGCTGACTTTGGTTGGCTTGGATAGCGACGAACGCATTCTTCTTTGTCAACGAATTGGAATGAATGTTTATTGGAATTATCATTTTTTTTTCTTACCAAACCTAAATACAGCCTTACCCGGATAAAATTGGATTAGATAGACTTTTCTTTTTGGTCAAAATGTTAAATAAATTTAGATAAACTTACTATAGTTAGATAAACTTACTTGAGATTTTTTTTTCTTTACTACTCCATCTATTTCATTATAAGTGTCACTTTAATTTTATATATTCAAATTAAAAAATAATAATTAATTTTAAATATTTTCTATATAAAACCACAAGTATTTATACACCTAATCATATTTCAACCAATTAGAAAAATAATTGTGAAAAAAAAATTAATAATTTTACATTAAAACTGAAAACGACGTTTATTTTATAATGAAAAAATTTCTCTATTGTAATACTTAATATGAAACGGATGGAATAATATTTAAAGCTAACCAATTTTACTTTCGTAAATTATCTTATATGTAGTTTTTTAAAAATAAATAAGATCCAATTGTTTTTTATATTTATTCAAAACAAATAATTAAGGTATTTAATGTATCTTTTTAATAACTGTGGGGAACTCAAAAACTTCATAGTATTTTCTATTTTAAAAGTAAAGGATTTTAAAGTAGATGAAAAATTATCTCTAGAGTCCTCTAAGAATAAAAATGTTATTTTCATACTATAAACATTGTTGTTTTCCTCTATATTCAAACAAAATTAGTATTCTATATTTTAGAGTAAAAGCTAAAAATGAATTAGATAAAAAGATAGAGAACTAGAACACTTCTGATACATGCATTTTTGAACATCTTAGATTTCTTTTCTTTTAGTTTTTGGGTTCTCTTTTTATTAACTTAAAGATAATGTAACTTTATTAGTCGACAACTCTTATTAGAAAAAGGCATTCTCTTAGTATTATAATTGACTTCAATTAGTACTTATAGGAAACTCTCAAAATCAGTATAAAGAACGATTTATTGAATTAAGATTGAAGCTTCACAAATAACTTTTAAGTATTTGGAAGATTATTCAGACTCATTGTTTTTCTTTTCCTTTGTGATTGCAAGATCATAGTTTGATCTTTAGTGATTTACGTTTCACATTATCTATCAATTGGCATCTGATTCATCACATTTCTAAAAGTGTTACATGTTTACTATGATAAATAAAACGGAGAACTTGTGGTGATATTCAAGGTCAGCAACCTGAAGGAACCATGCCAAGCTATAACAAAGTGCGTACAATACTTCTAGAGATGCAAGCCCGAATCCCAGCCAACTTTTAAGCATCAATCCAAGCTTATATGCAGTAGTTGGTGATACATTAGCCACTCGGTTGGGACCTCATAGCCTACACGCTGTTAATGTTCAGCATTAGAAACAATAACAACGTCAGGTGCACAATCAGGTTGACCGCATTGGCGTTCACGACATTCACTTGTATAATGAATAGGATGAAAATCATCGGAACGACCAGTTACAACCTCGTTATCGAGACAGCTATGACAATAGGTGGGAAAGAAGTTCTTAGGTGGAAATTCATGAATTTTGTTTAGGGATTTGTGGCTAAAAAATCATTGATTGGTTGTTTTAAGATACTTGAACTCAAACAGATTACTGATAGGCTTCGTCGTTGCTATGTGAGTCAGAGATATTTGAATGGAGAGAACACGAGAAGAGAAGAAGATCATGAGAAGAATTGATGATGTGGAAGCCAAGTGAAGTGGTTGTTAATAAACCGTTGGAGTCGGTTAGAGTCAACAGGAGTAGTATAAAAGAAAATTATAATTCTTTGAGGTCTTTTGTGCAATTTAGAAGAATTGTATCTCAGTTTCTGGTAGAGTCATCTACAGGAAATTGGCTCTATACCATAATTACGGTTAAAGATTGTATAAAGCTTGATTACATTAATAAAACGTACTATTGTTCTTATCAATTGGTGCGGTGACGATCGGACGTTGGCGACGAGGATGTCAGAGGAGATAGCGGCTCAGACCGGAGAGCTGGAAGCATCAATATATGGAACTAAAGAGAAACTTAGACACTTAACCGGTGGCTACAAGGTGCTTTCGTAGGCTTCGACGTTGGCGGAGAAGCATCTCGAAGCGGTTGACACAAATTTAATTCAATGGAGTCGACTTTGCAAGCGATGATGCAACCGATGGAGAAGTTAATTTCTGCGATTCATGGAAATCGACCGTACCTATTTCATCACAAACCTTTGATCAGGTATCTCCCTTGAATCTGGGAATGAATCGGGAAGTTAATCCACTAGGTTATTGAGACGGCTTGCTATGCAAAATTGAGATGCCAGTGTTAGATGGAGCTCATCCTTATTCTTGGATAGCTCGAGCTAAGAGGTTCTTTTAGACTGGGCAACATACTATGCAAGGGATAATGGATATCGTATCATTAAATTTGGAGGCTGATGCCTTAAGCGGGTACAGTTACGAAGTTGAACATCGTCTTTTCATGACTGGTTTGAATTCAAGAAACGAATGTTAGCAAGATTTGTTGAGTCGTATGAGAAAACTCCATGGAAGAGATTGTTTGGTACTTGCTACTCAAGTTAAGGTTGAAGAATCACAATTGGAAGATATTTTATTCAATGGTTTGAAGAGAGAGTTCCCAAGCTCATCGCACCAACTGAAAAGAACAAAAGTACGTTTTATTGATCTTATCAAGCTGTATACAATCTCTAACCGTAATTCCAGTATCGAGCCAATATTCTGTAGACGACTCTACCAGGAACTGAAATAAATTCTTCTAAATTGCACAAAAGATCTCAAAGAATTACAATTTTCTTTTATAGTACTCCCCTTTGACCATTGACTCTAACCGACTCCAACGGTTTATTAACAACCACTCCACTTGGCTTCCACGTCATCAACTCTTCTCATGATCATCTTCTCTTCTTGTATTCCCTCCAGTCAAAGATCTTTTCCTCACATAGCAACGAAGAGGCCTATCAGTTACACATGCTCATTGTTGGACCCAATTTTGGCATCTATCTGAGCAGGCCCAAGCCCATCTGGAATTATCACAAACTCGACATCGAGCCGGACTCTACGAGGTCGAGACGAGATCGCGGAGATCGCGGAAACCGTTAGAGGAGGAAAGGACTATAAAAATAAAACTAGAGTGAAGTTCAACACACACAGAAAAACCCTAGAGCTATTCACTAATCACATCGACCTTATTTTATAGATTTCTAGTTCGCCTTCTTGTACTTTTTGTTGTTATTTCTGATCTTGTTCATCACTTTGTAAATGAATTCCATATTCAATAAAAGTCCATTTTTTTCAACCAAAGTCTGATTGTATCGTTGTGTTTAAGAGCATCGTTTCCCACATCCTTTGTGTTCCCCTGATTGAACTCTCGATCTTTACAAAATACTGAGTGTGGATTTCAAGATCTACACTCATCATGTTCTCTTGGTCGATATGGGATTTCACAGACATGCATCCACTTTGCGGAATCAACTGAAAACAAATCGCTCACAAACCAATAAATCTCCGATACACTCTTAGGAATAACGGCCAAGCATTTTTGCCATACCTTCTTACTGACTTGTATTGTGGATTACTATTCAGAAGAATTTTGTGTTGTTTTTTACCCATACAGAGATTCACAATAGTGAAGTGGTATCTTGTTTCATTGGTAGGTTGCGACCACAGCTCCAAACATACATGCTAAATTCAATCTTTCAAACGATTAGTGAAGCCCATCGATGTGCATCATCAATCGAGCAACAGTTCTGATCCACTAATTGGAACTCTTCATCATTGTGAAACAAACCATAAAAAAAAAGTTCTAGATCCGGAAATGGACCATCGCCACATAAAGAATCAAGTGAAAGTGCAACTCTGACGACTCGTCCTTGCACACCAGATGAACAACAGCTCCGATTCTTCACTCACCCTAACACATTGTTGTGTTGCTCATGTGGCGAACTGAGTCTTCTTCAAATGTCATGAATTCACACTAATTGTTGTGAACCTTCAAAAATATGACTGTTGATTCTCACTTCAAACCAGAGGTTTACGATACAAAGGAAGAAGACGAGCAAGATGATATAATGATATTCGTCTTACAATGGGAGATACAGGTCATGCTCTTGTCATTCGTTGATCATGTGTTACCCAGAAAGATGAACATTGGTTGTGAACAAACATATTTCAAGACACTTTACGATTGATGGTCATGTTTGAAGTTTCTTTATTGATTTAGGGAGTTTTAGAAACATTACCTCAGGCACCCTTGACAAGTTGGGCATTCTTGTTGAAAACCACCTAGATTTTAATACATTACGATGGCTACAAAAAGGTATTAGGAAATGTACCCTAGTTGCTATTTTGGTTGGACCTTGTTAGTGATATCACATGTATTACGATATTTCTCCAACCATTAGAGATTTGTTGTTGGGGCAACCATGCAAATTTAATAAAAATTAATTCATGACGACACTCAGAACAGATACACGTTCATATGAGACACACAAAAAATTTTATTGCTTCCAGCCAAGAAAACATCATTGCTGAGACTTCTTTGTCCAGATTCACCATTGGCATCATCTCCCAACGACGAAGCATACAACTTAATTATGTAGTTATGAGATATTCACCAAGTAACTACAATCATATATAGTTTTTTTCCTCTGCATGGATTATTTCATCATTTTCTCGGATATTGTTATCGATAATTCATCATGATATTGATGATGCCTTGGCCAAATTTCCATACTCTTCCTTAACAATTTACCTTCAATATTACAACCATTGCAAGACATTCAACACCATATTAATCTCAACTAGATGAGACTACATAATTGACCACATTATCGCATGAGTCTAGACGAACATGGAAGCTCAACATGCAGGTTGAATTCTTCAAAAAGACATATCTGTGAAGTTCTACTCCTTTTTCTGTATCAGCTCTCCTTATTTCCACAAATGGATGACTCATGATGGATGTGCGTGGACAGCTATGCCATTAACAAGATTATAGTTTTATTGTCAATTTCCACACCTCGATCACCTGTTGGATCTAAGAGGATCATCATCGATCTTCTCCAAAACTAATTTAAGAGCGGCTACACCAACTTCGAATTCGTCACAGAGATTAATGCAAAATATAATTCAAAAAAGAGAAGGTTTGTTCAAATAGCTTGTAATGCCATTCGGATTATCAAATCTGCCAAGTACTTTTATGTGTATTATAAATTCAGTTACATTGACCGTGCATATGGAAGTAAGTCGTTGTACATTTTGGTGACATATTAATTTTCAGCTTGACATTGGTTGATCATATAAATCATTTACGAGAAGTATTACTTGTGCTCCGTAACGAGAATTTTTTTTGCAGTTAAGTAGAAGTGCAATTCAGTGTTGATGAGGTGTTAATCTTGGGTAATGTCGTCTCTGCTAAAGGCTTGACAATGGATCTCTCGAAGGTTGACGTGATGCGACTGTACCATTCCTCGCACAGTTACAAAAGTTTGTAGCTTTAGTGGTCTCATCTCCATTTACCAAAGATTGATAGTCATTTTAATACTATTATGGCTCCTATACAATATCTATGAAATAGGGAATGATTAATTGGATCATAAAACAATGAATGCATTCATACTGATTAAAATTTAACAATGACACCCTTTCTTGTGTTAACCGACTTTACCTCAATATTTGAATTGCATAGTAATGCATCAGAATTATCTATTATAATGAAAAGATATTGGTGCTCTTTCTCCATATAGTACACATGATGTTGAGTTATGTGCAACTGTCAAGATATTAACATTGGTGACACTATCTATTGCATCAAACCGAACCTAATAATCATTAATATCTAAATGGTTTTTTTGTACCTTTACCAAATTGGAACTGAATGAGAATTGAATCGATATCCAAAATATAATCTATACTAAGTATGTTAGTATATTTAGTTTTGAAATAATATAATATTTTACAGTATAATTTAGAATTCAAATACTTACATTCAAAAACATCTGAAGTGTACAAAAAACTAAATTATCCAAAAGTTAATTATTCCAAAATATTCAAGTATTTGAATACAAAATAAAAAAAATAAAAAAAAAATATTTTTCCACAAATTATTCAATGTTTTTAATTAAGTATCTAAAATTATTTAAATTTGAACGAACTTGTAAATTCCAGTTATTAATAATTCTAGTCTTAATATTTGAAATAAACTAAATATAAAAGAATCTAACCGAAATCAAATCAATTTTTATAAACATAATATTCTCATTTTTATATCTAAAATATTAGAAAGCAAAAAAAAAAAGAACTAAACTGAATAATACTTAAATGCCCAAACCTAGGTGTGATGTGGTGTTTAATCAAAATCGTATATATTCATGGTTAAGCACAAAGTCTCCTCTCTCATACAAGGCATGCTTTGTGTTTTTTTCATTTCTTTGTAAGGCTTCACCCAAGGACATGTTCTTTTAATATTTGAAATCTTTTTGTTGGTTTGTTGATATCAAACTAAATATATATATTCAGTCTTTTATTATGGAGACAAAGCTTGAAATATCAATTGATTTTATTGGCATGGGATTATAGGCATGCATTCAAAAACAAGCTCCATAATTATTTCATCAAACAAAATTCTGAGTCAATGTTGAAAATATCAATTATTGCATCCAATTTTTGAGTTATCCAAAATTACTTGATTTTTAAGGTAAAATTCCAAATTATCAGATATTTTACATAAGTCACTTAAATTACTTGGTATTTTTAATTTATCATCCAAAAATACCGGTTCCAGATTTTACTATGTATGAACTAAACCAAAAACTAAAAGATATGAATGGGAATCAAAACTGAAACCGAAACAAATAGTACAAGTACATGCACGGTTCTTTCATTTTCATACTTAAAAATAATAGAAAGCCGAAAAAACAAACTAAAGTACACCGAATACTTAAACGGCGAAACCTAGTTCAGGTGCGATGTTGGTTTGATCAGAATCATATAATATTTATGGTTAAGACTTAAGCACAAAGTCTCATCTCTCTCGTACAAGTACAACGTACAAGGCATGCTTTGTATGTTTTCAATTTTTTTGCCAAGGCTTCACCCAAATCTGTAGATGGGATTTTCCATTTAATATTTTGTTGATATCAACTAAATTATTCAGATTTGAGATTTCAGTCCTTTTTTTTGACGAAAAACTTGAAATATTCTTTATTCAGAAAAAAATTGTACATGTAAGTTCTTCATTTTTTCTTTTTTCCTTTTTTTTGTTAATAATCGTGCGGGATTCCAAAAGCTTTCTAGGTCCACAAATAATTTTACGAAGCCATAAAAATTCGGGCTTTCTTGCCACTTAAAAGTCTATGGGTGGTTAATGCTACTCGAACCAAGGGCGGAAACTCCAACTAGAACCCTTTTACCAGGATCAAGGCGACTTGGTTCGGTTCTTCCACTTTCATACCCAAAAATATTATAAATCCGAAAAAACTAATTGACGTAAATGGAATACTTAAACGGCCAAACGTAAGTCAGGTGTGATGTTGTGTTTGATCAGAATTTATATTTTTATGGTTAAGCACAAAGCCTCATCTCTCTCGTACAAGGCATGCTTGGTATGTTTTCAATTTCTTTGTCAAGGCTACACCCAGATACTTAGATGTAATTTTTCCTTTTAATACCTTAAATTTTTGTCTTGTGATTTTGTTGATATCAACTAAGATTTTCAAATTTCAGTCTTTTTTTTTTGAAGAAAAGCTTGAAATATCCTTTAGGGAAATTACTTAGAATAACATACAATTTATCAGTATTGACTAGAATAACACAACAAAAAAAAGAAAGAAGAAAAATGTGATCAAAATACTGAAATGCCCAACGATGGGTTTCTTTTTTCTGTGCCTAATGAAACACTCTAGATCAAGTAGAAGGTTTACAAGAAAATACAAAAAAAAATTCATGAAAGACTCTACACCAAAGAGAAGCTTTGGTTTATGAAAAAAAGGTAAAACAATAAAAAAAGACAACTCCCCACGCCTCATCTCTTCTTCCCCCCGACAATTGAGACATGAACCCTAAATCCCCAAATAACAAAATCTTCAAACTCTCTATTCTCTGTTTTTCATCATTCCCTCTCGCCGATTCGGTCACTCCCGAATCCTATTCTACCACTAACACATTCGATTCATAAACCAGAAGTGAATTTGAAACCCCATCGATTTCGATTCGGTCATTCCCATTCTGAAAATCTCATTCCCTTTCGACACTCTTACAAGCTCATCTCCATTCTAGTTAGTTTAATCACCTATTTGTGCCATCAAAGGTTAGTCTTCAATTATTTTGAGTACAATCGCTTTTTTTTTATTTTGAGTTCAATCAATTCGATTAGTTTTTTTTTTTTAAAACAGTTGGTATAAGTGTTTTTGCATGTACATATGTTGATATCAGTTTGGGTATAATTGAATTTGCTATAAGAATTATCAGACTCGTTTGCATGTTTTTCGAAAAAACAATTTTCCTATTTCTTACTACATTGTTCAATTTTGACAGAGAGATGACTACATCCAACAGCCCAAAAACATATCCACCAAGACTTTACGAAGAGGGGAAATGTCCATTGCAATATCGAAGCATGAATCATAATTGTCACTTGGCTAGTTTGCAGATGGTGGAGGAATCAGTTGGCCTAGATGCGTGGGAATCCATTAAAGAGTCAGCTGTTGGAGTTATTCCGAGGTTGAAAGAGCTGGATTATATTTGGTCAGCCCAAGTTGTTCACCATATACTGACAAACCAACTGGTAGTCGATAATAGCCATGAGATATGGTCTTTAATAGAAGATCAGCCACTTAGATTTTCGTTACATGAGTATGGTGAAATAACAGGTTTGAATTGCGAGCCTTTCAACATACATGATAAGGTGGAGGTTGATCATAAGCCGTTTTGGGAAGAGATGGGTGTGTCTCCTTCACATGGTCCGATGCTATCTGAGTTGAGATTATTGTTCCCTCACATTAGGAATTGGTCGTTTGAGAAGAGAAGAATGATTGGCTTACTATGTGTCTTATCAGTTGGAATACTTGGCATATCTCCAGGCAGTAGAATTCCTTTGGAAGAAGCAAAGAGAGTATTAGACACAGAAGCATTTGAGAGATATCCTTGGGGGCGTGTCGGATTTTCCAGCCTAGTTAATTCAGTTAAACTAGTTTCATATGAAGATAAGAAGAAATATACACTTCGTGGATGCGTACACGCTCTTCTCATCTGGGTGTATGAGTCAATACCTGGTATTGCTAATGAATATGGGAACCACATTGAGGGTAACCAAGTTCCTCTTCTCTCTTGGTCTGGATCACGTCCTCGTATACCATGGGATCATTTTTATAAAATGGAGAAAGAACTCCACCAGAAGGTTAGTAGTTTGTAGTATAAATTTATTAAGAGTTTCACTTATAATGTATACTAATGTTTAGTACTTGCTTGGTAGGTACGTGTCAGACACCTCATTGTGAAGCCAGAACCCGACATATATCCTCAATGGGATGACGACAAGGTTGATGATGCTCTTCACAATTTGATTACAGACATTCTACATGGGACTCTCGATGATACGTATTGGTCCACGAAAGCACGTAATGCACCAACAGCAAACAGAGAGAAAAGGAAATTATTGAGGGAAGAAGAAGCATGTATGAAGAAAAAATCTCCAAAAGTGAAGACATCTGCTGTGAGTATATTTAGTTTTGTTTTTACTTGTATGTGTTATGTTGTTACTGAATTTATTTATTGTATTCTTGCAGCCATGTGGAGATGATACATTTCGGCATGACCTAATGGAAATGATGAACACGTTGACTACAAAGATTGGAAGTATGGATACAATTATTGTTGAGAAGGTGTTGACTGCAGTAGAGACAACCATTGACGCTAAAATAGATGCTAAAGTAGATGCAAGGGTTTGTCAGGCCGAGCTGGTACTTAACAAGAAAATCTACTTTCTGTTGTGAACGAATCTTTAGTTTCATGTTTAATCTACTTTCTGTTGTGAACGAATCTTTAGTTTCATGTTTAATCTACTTTCATGTTGTCAACGTATCTTTATTGTCATGTCTAATCTAATTTCATTGTGAACGAATGAAACAAAGGCTCATTGTCTAACCAGAAACATGTAAAATAGAGACTCATTGTCTAACCAGAAACATGTAAAATAAAAACACATTGTCTAAGCACCAGGACACGTTTTACAATTGTGACCAACATGATTACAAATCGAACATTTATGCTCCTTTCTTGGACGTTTCTTTGTTTCACTTTTCTCAAACCAAGACTTCATTCTAGATTTTTTGGGTCTCCCTGGTGGTTGCCGAACCACAGGAGGCAAACAAATAATTTTTGCGACATTATCAGGTACTGATGTTTCAGCGTCTTTTGGCATTACTGCAGTGGAGTAAGCGTTGTACATATAGTTTGTACGGTAGTATGTATGACATAGTGAAATAGTAGATAACTTTCTCGCTTCCGCTGCCGCAATTGCATGCACACAAGGTAACTTCTCTAAGTCAAATCTGCGGCAAGAACATCTTCGATCTGTCAAATTCACTATGTGTGTAGATGCGACACCGCTCACCTGATATTGGTGAATATCTATCTGTTGTACGCCTAGCATTTTAGCATACGGTATACGGCCCTGTGAAAGTATGTCTACAATGTTAGTTTTGTGTTCATAAAATATGCATGTGCCATAGAAAATCTAGTGTACCTCTAAAAGCTTCTCAACTCCACGAGTTAGAGTTGTCTTCATCAAATATGCATCATTCTTCCGTGCAGAAAACCAGCGGGTCATCATTTGCCTAATTGCTTCTATAAGTCTTACAATCGGTAAACTCCTTGCATTTGAAAGCACTCTGTTAACTGATTCAGCTATGTTTGTCGTAGTTAAATTGTACCTATCACCAGGGAAATGAACTCGTGCCCATTTTTGTACGCCTGCTTTCTGCAAATAACCATGCAAATCTGGGTGCAACGATTTGATCTCATCAAATATGGTCTCAAAATCTGAAATCCTAAATGAATTAGCTGCCTTTTTAACCAAGCCAAACAACTCGCGACCTCTAAACTTTAACAAGACATTCTTATACAAGTGGTAAGTGCAAACTCCGCGGCTGGCAGTTGGATACACCTCGGCAATTGCATTACCAATTGATTTGTGCCTATCAGAAATAATAGCAAGTCTTTCATCATCTGGTATCACACAACTGAGTTGTCTGAAAAACCACTTCCATGATTCATCATTTTCTGTATCGACTATCGCAAATGCGATTGGAAATATCTGAAAGTTACCATCTTGTGATGACGCAATTAGTAGAGTCCCTTTATACTTTCCTTGCAAGAAAGTGCCATCGACCACAATAACCTTCCTCATGAATGGAAATCCTTTGATGCTAGCACCAAATGCAATGAAAAGGTACTTGAATCTGTCGCTAGAATCTACTACAAGGCGAGTGAATGTCCCAGGATTTGCTTTTCTAATCATGTGCAGATACATAGGTAAATCATGGTAGCCACTCTCTGAGGATCCCCTAACCAATTCTCTTGCACATATCAGTGTCCGGTGAGCTTTCCAGTAGCCAATCTATCATTTACGATCGTAAGCAACAATCAGAAATATATCAAGTTTTTGAGTATACAAGAAAATGAAACAAACCTTTATTCCAAAGCACATGCTAAGGGACTGCTGCACATGAGTTGGCAAAATGGTTGGCTCCACTCCACCAATGAATTCAGTGTATAGAGATCCAAGAATCTTTGGTGTTGCTTGTCTGCAGCGAGCTGATCTTTCTGTAACTGAACAAGTATGTTCAGAAACATAGCTGCGTACGGTAAAGCGAGGAGTATCACTTGTGGGTGATGCTCTTAACTTCCAACAACAGCCTTGAACCCAACACTTTACGATTAACAGAGTCGGTGTTGAGTACTCAACATCATAATCGAATTGCTCCACAATCGTCAATATCTTGAGTCGTGTTTTTAATGCAAACTTGGAGTCAAAACTTTGGCCAACAACTATTTTTAGTGAATTCAGCTGTTGCCTAACAAGCGGAGTCACTTCCTTAGCCTTTTTCGATTTAGCCGCTAACCCAATCTTTGGCTTATACATTCTCTTCATCTCTATATCTACTTCTGGAATTGATCCGTAGGCTATAAAGTCCTCATCATCTGATGTTGCACCATCTGAATCATCGCAATAGTCAAACCGTTCTCCGTCAGTGTCTGAGTCTTCATCATGAATATCAGATTGGTTGATCTCTTTCATTGTCTTCATACTGCCTCTAATAGTGACCTCCACACATAGCCAAAGTTTGTCATATTTTAGGAGATGGAAGAAACCTTGCAGTTGTTGGAAATCCTCAATTTTAACTGGGGATGTGTCAAGAGTTAGCTTCTTCACGCTCTTCCTGCTAACCATGTAACTCAATCTGATATTAACATCTCTCTTATCTAATCCGTAGTCCTCATAAACCATGTTTTTCATATCTTCAAAGCTTATGTTGTCATTGACTGTAATTACTTTGCTTCCTCTTCTGCTATCAACGTGAAACATCCACTTTTCCTTCTCGAATAACCACTGCCCACAAACGGCTATAACTTCCATTGATTGTTCTTAGGATTAACGTAAAATAGCCACTTGTCCAAAAGAATATGTGTCTTGGAGAAGAAGAAGTTTTACGGCATAAATCTAGGTTTTAGTAATTAAGGCAAAAGAGATCGTGGCTTAGAGGAGATCGAGGCTTGCAGGCATTGGTCGAATTTTTGTTAAGATCAAACCGGATTTAATTATATTTACTTAACCGATTCCTTAGTTAACCAGTTTTAATAAAAAAAGTCTGCTACCAATACCTGCGATTAAAGTCTGCTGTAGATCTATTAAAGTCTGCTATCACATAGTACTCTACGATCACAAAAAAATCTGCCAACTTATAAAAAGGTTTACAAGATAAATCTACATCTCAGTAAAAATATGCCATCATGTGTGATAGGCTTGTTTTGAAAGTCTGTGACAGTATGAAGTCTGCGAGATTAAGTCTTCGTGAAGGAATAAGTTTGTCATTCTTTAATAAAACCTGCTATAGTAAGATAAAAATCTGCCATTAAAAATCTGTCAACGTAAATAAATCTGCGAACGTAACTAAATCTACCATCATGTGTGGTAGACTTGTTTTGAAAGTCTATGACAATATGAAGTCTGCGACACTAAGTCTTCGTCAAAGTTTATGTTTGCCGTAGTTTAATAAAACTGTCATCAAATATCGCAGATTTTTTAAAATATACTTATTTTACTGTTTCGTAAAAAAAAAAAGAAAAAAAAATTCTGACATGGTTAAAATTTTTTTTTTTTCGTTAACAAAGGAATTATGGGCATTTTGGGTATAAAAAATAATCTAATAATTAAAAAAATTTGTATGTTATTCTAATAATAATAACATGATTTGATGTTATTTTAGTAATCTTCCCTATCCTTTATTCTATTGGCATTTGATTAGGTGCGTGCGACAGTGCGAGTGACACATTATGCTGTTTTGAACAAAAAAAACAGCATGAAGTTCATTTGTCTGGCTCAGAAACGATGATAAACACCTGATGACCTGAAGCTAACTAGGTTTTTGGTCAGTACGATTAATCCATTACTAAACACTTGAATCGAGCAAAAGGCAACAACTCTTGTCGATACTTCCCAAGTTAAGTTACACATCGCCATGGCCACCGCTTCAATATTCTCCACAGTCAACACACATGTGACACATCTCTTTAACTCCTCTTCTCCGATCATTGGGAAGCCATCTCCTTCAAATTCCACGTCAGTCAGATCCATGGTTTCATTTTCCCGGAAAACCCTAACTCCAATCCGATTCTCTTCGTCTCCGGCCGATCACTCCCCTGCTGCCTCCGTCACTTCGCCCACCGTGGAAGGAATCACCACCAGATCGAAAACATCCTTGAAATCCCGCCTCCATGGAGGAGAAACTCTCTACGGCATGTTCTTACTCTCCTTCTCTCCCACTTTAGCCGAGATCGCTGCTCACTCCGGCTATGACTACGTCGTTGTCGACATGGAGCACGGTCATGGCGGTATACCGGAAGCTCTAGACTGCATCCGAGCACTTAACGCCGCGGGTGTAGCCGCCGTTCTTCGCTTACCGGAGAACTGCCCTACCTGGGCTAAAAAGGCCTTAGATCTAGGCCCACAAGGAATCATGTTCCCGATGATCGAATCTCGCAAGGACGCGACCAAAGCGGTGTCGTACTGCCGGTTTCCTCCCGAGGGGATCCGTGGATCGGCGCACACGGTGGTGCGAGCGTCCAAGTACGGAATCGACGAAGGGTACTTAGGTAATTACGCTGACGAGTTACTAATCATGTGCCAGGTGGAGTCAGCTGAAGGAGTTAAGAAAGCTGATGAAATTGCAGCCGTTGATGGTGTTGACTGTGTGCAAATGGGACCGTTGGATCTGAGCGCGAGCATGGGTTACTTGTGGGACCCAGGGCATAAGAAAGTGAGAGAGATGATGAGGAGAGCGGAGAAGGCGGTGCTGACGTCAGATCCAGCGAAAGGTGGGGCCTACTTGTCAGGTTTCGCGATGCCGCACGACGGACCTGCCGCGATCCGGGAACGTGGTTATAGTATGGTGGCCGGAGCTGTCGATATTGGGCTGTTCAGGAACGCGGCTGTGGAAGACGTGAGGAGATTCAAAATGGGTTTGGTCAACGAATCGGACGGTGAGGATTCGTTGGATAATGGGAAGGATGTTGACGATGAGAAGTACTGGAGCGAATAAGCTTGTTGTTCTGTATAATTTCTCAAAAATAAAATGTGATTTTACCTTTTTAACATTGTTCGTTAATGTTGGCTGGTCTCTTTTAAGGCTTCAAAAAGATCTTTGCAGTTTCACGAAGGTTTACATTACAAACATGCAACAAATGTTAAGTCTTCATAAATCAACATGATCAC